CAAGAGCTAGGACGATTGTGTCACGAGCAAACCTGTATACTAAGCGATAATCCGGGAACAACTATGCACTTCAGTAGGAACAAGTATTGCTGTCTCTTTATCCAATTCACATCACAGTTCACAACGCTAGGAAATTGTAATTAGAAGCAGTCTCAGAAGTAAATCTCAGACTACTGATACCGATATTAGAAGTAACAAGAACTTATATAGACTTCGCGTTATGACATCATATACATCGCTAGTAAAAGAGAACAGCAAATCACAGAAGAGATTGACTAGATTATCTGTTGTGTTGCAGGTGGAAGGCGGACAGTCAGCATCCAGTACGTACTCCGGCGTGTGATCCTATTCCCACACGTCACTTGAGATGGTACCATACATAACACGCTCATAGCATTGCCACGCAGCACGCATGATTTCCAATCTTAAACAGTGAAACAAAAAACAAGTGGAACGACTCTCGCCCGTCCTCAACACATAGCAAAATATTGTAGCTGCAAAGTTGATGTGAATGTTTTGTGTGTAGGGGGTTCTCCTTATCGGCAGTCCGAATTCAGGCAGTGCGACCTTTACCGTTACGGCAGCCCCCGCAACAGGATAGCCGTTGGATACTGTCCAAACGAGTGTCAGATCTAGACAAAATTCCCCAGATACCGGGGCGCTTGGAGGACACCGTCCGCGTTATGTTCAGTTACAACTTACAACCATTAACTTTATTTATTTGCCCAGTCAGCAACATTTGCATGACATACAGCGGCCGGGCGCTCGGCACACACTTTGAAAATATTTTGTGTCTTACTACTACTGCATTTTGTTAAAGCTTGATTTTTGCGGCTGCATACGAAGTCGTGGACATTCTGTCTTTCAAAACTCTCGGTTTCTTAAAATTTCTAATCTGTCACTTCAAGTTTTCAAAACTGTTAGTTCAAACCACGAATCTACTGGACAGGTTCTTTATAAAAAAAATTGCACTTGAGCTTGCAGTGTTTTGTAACGGATTAGCTTTGAGCTGTGCCCTAAAAATCTGTTATTGCCAACGATAGTGCTGTGGTATTTGTTCAAAATTTCTGAGCACTTAGCCGAGCAATGCGCGAGGAGAACAGCAATGACTGGAGTACATTCCAGCCTTACACCAATGTTCTTTGGCTGAAGTATCTGCAGAAGAAGCTAGTGAAGGAAAAATTCATTGGCCGTGGTAACAAAGAATGCCAAACGAGAATCAGAGAGGCTGGTCCGAAAGGGAATCCCGTTCGGCAGGTGAACTGGTGAAGAGCACAAAGATGTTCATGGATTTCTTGCCAGACTGAATGTTGCGATCACAATGCAAAGGTCAGTGGTGCGTTTCCGGTTTTTAGCATTAGAGAAGTCTGTTTTTTTTTGTTTAATATTATTTGCTTTATCTGCTTCCGCAGGATGAGCCTCGGGAATTTGGGTCTCGCTTTGTTTCTGCTGCCTTTTCGAAGTTCTCCGATTGTGTTTTGGTCTTCGGTTGAGTGTAAAACGTGATGATGAATTTGTGATTTTAATGATAAAGTCAGTGATGATCAGGCCTTCCTTCCTGTACAGTTGGTACTTTGTAGCATTATTTCTGCTATAAGTGTTGGTACAATGATCGCTCCAAACACAAGCGGTTGCGATTCTCCGGGATTTATGTCGGAACATGTTTTGCTGTTTCCGTAAGCATGTAGAAAATCCTTATCAAAGTGTTGGTTCTTATATGGATCATTAGTGTTAAGTTGTTAACGTCTTTATTTTTGGCAACAAAGTCAATTTTGGGATTTCTTTGGACGATCGTTATTGCGGGTGTTGGTCATTTTTTTTTCAGATTGCATACATTATTGACTTTAAACGTAGTATTATAACAATAACTAAATTTAATGTCTTTCGCTATGGAGCATTGCCCCCTCTAAGCTGAAACCGAGAAGATCAAAAACGCGGAGAAAAGGTAACAATGGAACACGTGAGAAATAACGTTCACGGTTCATCATATAAAATCACACAGACAATCACAAACAACCAATTTAGCTGAGATTTAACGAAACTACATGGTAACATGGGCCAGCTAGTCGAGCGGCAGACAGAGGGCATTTCCTAATCCACATAAGTTTCATCCAATCCACGTTATCGAGTGCCTTCTGGAATGCGCCGAGGGACCTGTAGACTTCGAGAAGAATAGAGTGCCCATTCCACAAAGCCGCCAATCGTTCGAGATGCGATCCATGGACAGCTGTCACGGTCGTGCCGAGTGCGGATGTTGAGCCATACGAACGAAGTGGCGGATAACGTAAGTGAGGTTGCACTGTGTTCTACCTTGCTGACTGAAATATGGTCGAATTTTCTAGGCGATGCACTATGCCGGTGCTGCGCCGAGCATCGTGGAACAGTGTCTACGCCTGGATGGCCTGGTTGACGAATCCGCGATAACCGTCTGGGAGCCCAAGCACTTCAATAAAATCGGAGAATAACCGCTGCGCCTTGTCCTGCAACGGGATACACTAACAGCCAACGAGGACACCAGTTATTTATTCGTCTGTTAACATGTACTTAACTGAACTGGCAGCAGTCGTATTATGACATAGAAGGCAAGCCTGCTCGTTGTATTCTGTGGCTTTTATCAGCCGTTTTCTGGCAGATGGGCTGCAGTCATGTGTTTGCAAAAAGGACTCTGCGCTTCACCCGTTAATCGACGGGAAGTGTTGGGCCAGGTGTTGTTTCTCATCCGGTTTCCTCTTCTGACCCATGCCCAGCTGTTGGATGGACCCATTTCAAGGTACGGTTTTCTTAGTCCGACATACAAATTGCCCACTTTTCACAAGCATTCGACGGCCAGTTCACCGTGCGTGGGCGGAAGCAGCGTACCGAGCTGCATCAAATGCCATGTTTTACTCAGGACGGTTTGTTAATGCAGTCCGAAGGAATGGACATCTTCCGCTACAAGCACGCTAAGATTAAACCGAATTTGCCGTTCCCAGCGAAGCCCCGACAAAGTTGGCCCGTTAATGTTTTCTTTGAAAAGTGTGGCCATGTCGGTTTCGTTTTTATTAGAAAACTAGGTATACGCGCTAAAAGTGTGATCAGCTATACGGTTCCCGATGTTAGGATGCTTGAGGCGAAGGCTGTGTTCAGCGAACCCATAACAGTCAGAAAGCTGCTCTGGTATGGCGAAATTGTCGTACGGAAAATAGAGGTCTGATATCTAATATGGTTGAAAAAGGACAACAAAGCTGTCTATCATTTTGCAGGAGTGTGGAGGTTTGTCGCAATACTGCAGGAGAATTTCCTGCTCTTAGCCTTTATCTGGTGTGCAACGGTTATCCGGAATCCGAATCTTGGTCGTGCCACGTTAACGCAGAATTTCGCCTGCTGCCATGGAAAAGGGGAACTGCAGCAATTAACAAACGTATGCTTCTTTATGCAATGATGCTGTTTTCGTTATCACTGGTAACCCATATTAATTATGAGTTTATCAAGGATGTTTTACGTTTTGTAGAAACTTCTCGGTTGTTCGATCAGACGGGAAATTTCTGGGGATGGTCGGCATACATTTCCATGGAAGGGAGGGTTTTCTGCGGAAAAACGCTTGTTTACCCATTGTCTCATAAAGCATAAGGTTTTTGTATTTCAGAAATTACTGGATCCGGCGCGGGGCTACGTTAATCCGTGTGACTTCTCCAGTTCTCCGTTCTCCTTGAACCTGCAAGTGGAGCTGTCCGCTGATCTTCCTACTGGAATTGAATGAATGGGTGTGGAAATGAGATGGTTGACGAAAGTGACAGACCAAAGATAACCTTTGAAAGTCGTACCTGTCAAGGTTGCTAGTAAATTCTTGAATGGCGGAATTCATATGAGTGTCAACAGACTGCATTTCTAACCCTTTGCTGCCGAGTGATTATCTTGAAATATTTAGTCGCATAATTAACCTGTTATAAGACGCTTACGTTTATAATCTAGCTGTCGTATCGATATAGTTTGCGAGCAAATAGTGATGTACAGACTTGCCAAATTTATGTATTTGTGTAACGGTCTTTCTGTTTACATTTACTAATTGTGTTTGTAACAGTAGTGTTAGGCGGCGGAGCTTCCCCACTTGAAAATCTCCTCATACTATTCGTCCAGAAAGTGCTACCAGTACTTCAAGTTCACGGCGCTTTTGCATTTGTAGCCACATGCATAAGCCCCTAAAAAAAGCAGCGCATGGACTAACAACAGGAGGACTAACAACACTGTCGCCACAAGATGCCCTGATTTGTGTAACTGTAACGTCCATTCTGTAGATATGCCGTAAACAGTTCTCAGAGCCGTTGTGGATTTCGATTAAAATAAAGTCGAAAAAACATTTGGCCAGGAAATACAAATCGCACTTCTCGGCGCACTTCGTCGTTGGACTTAAAAATGCGTGTCAGCGACTTCTCTGCCATATGGAGAAGCATTTTCTCCTTATGTTGTGTTTGAGTAATTTTTCAATGGTAAGGACTAAGGGTTAATTTCGACAGGTTGCATGCTTGTTGCTAGAGTGACTTCTTAGCTGCTGTTTACCGAGCCGCACGACCTTTGTGCGCAAGCATGTTCCGGACAGTCTTAGCACTTCCGCTCCGTGGGAACTTAGCCAGTGCATCTGGCTACAATAGTTAGTATCTATAAGTATAGACTATATTAAATATGGTCGGCATAAATTTCGGCATCGGCATAAAATTTTTGCCGAAGAGACGGACGTAACAGAAAAAGGCGGATGACATCATGAGCCCGCAAGTCTGGGAAAACTTTTTAAGTCTGGGAAAACTCAGCCCGCAAAAGCTGTCACAAATCGTCTAATGACTAGTGGAGAAGTGTAGATTCTTTCTCCGGCTCGAGAAAACGGACGGAAGATATAAACTGCATCAAAATTTTTATAATAGTTTTAATCAGTAAGTTATCGATGATAATCGCCTGCACACTAATGACAACTTTAAGCTAATGTCAACGCATTTTGTGAATTGTGTTATAAACCATAAGATCTCGCTGTTGCTTTTATCCCGGATAGACAGTTTCAGTTCGTAACTGTCCACAATCAACAACAAAATCATCCATGACAAAAACTGCAAGTGCCCATCTAAAACATAGGCATTCAGAGAGCATACATCGATGTACTGGTAGAACCATTTTGCACAAAATTCATAAATCAGGCGTACTGTTATCAATCTTACAGCAAACTGAGCGTAGTCCAAAAACATGCAACAAAAATATTGGAATTCTAAATACGACTACTCGCGTTAGCTCAAGCCAAACCAGCGGCATCCAGCGGACGCTTCCTCGTGGAAACGAAGAGAGGCGGAAACGTGATATCATCGCCATCGCTACATGTAGCTGATTTCCAGTAGCTTGCATACGCAGGGTCCAAAAATATCTCACTGAATTCAACGCGGCGTTGAGTGCCCGCCAAGCTGATGATATGCTGGCCATTCTCCAATCTAACAAACCATGCTAGCTTGTAACTGCCTGCATTCCCGTACATGATGGGCCGATAAGCGACTAAGTAGTCGGTTGCGCGAACGATATGCTTCGGGCTCTGTCTCACCAGCTCTTCCCCACCGGCTTCCAGGCAGACGGCCATGTCCCCGCGTAATCCGATCACCCTTGCACTGGGACACCAATACTGCCAGTAATTCACGAACACCTCCTCGTCGTGCTTGAACGCCACGCCATCAACGCGGATGATCGGCAGTTGTCGCGGTTGTGCCGGAAACTGGAGCGAGCGTTTCGTCGTGGCGTACTTCTGCATGTAGATGTCCTTTAATTCGGATGGCTCCAGCAGACCACTCTACGCAGATAAGCACATTATTTAAAATCGAGCTTATTTACAGCAGGTTCGAGTCCATTTCCCCATTTTTGGATAAGGTTGTCTTACGTCAGTAGGGCCGTCAGCCAATTGGATGTCGGTCATGAGCGGAAATCGGATTAGGTACAAACAGTCTCCCAGAATTTGGCGCCGGTTGGTGGCCGATGGCACTAGATTGCTCCGGGCGCAGGCAGCCGTCGCCCACCTAGATACAAATTCAGCAATACGACGAGTGTACTAAATCTTCCTTATTTGCAACTGAACAATTCTGATTGTCGAGTTCACGAGGAGTATTCTCAAGATAACATTCCACTAGCCTGTACTTTTTAATTTTCTTTTACGATTTTTTCCGCCATATATTTTAGTTTATGGGAAGTGTGCCGGTATTGTACATGGTACCAAATTCGTGTATATGTACCGGTATGTAAGAAAACATTCGCTTTCGCTGTTTCGCATACCCTCAAACGCTTTTTTTGCATTGTTTTATGACATTTTACAGCCAAATGATGTGAGCATATTGGCGGGAAAACCGTTTGTGCGCGTAACAACCGGTTGGGGCGTCATAAATGAAATATAATTCCTAAAATTTGTGCGCACGAAGGTATACCAGACGTCCAGCCAGTAGTTACCAACCGATCTTCTTTAAGGTTTGCACTGGAACGCACATCAGAACGAAGATCATTTGTACACCGAACCAGGCTTCTTTCGATATTCGTTTCAAATTCTAAATAAGTAAAATTTTAAAATTCTGAAATTACAGTACGTTACAGTTAGTGGCGCAAAATACAAGCATTCTGAGAGATAACTTGCAAAACCGGTCTAATCATGCAAGCAAAGTGGACGTCGTTTTAACGATTATAGTTATATACTGGTCTTGTGGTATGGAAACACAAAAATAAAGCTCCAAAGGCCCTTAGGAAACCGCATGACATTTGCCCACTTACCGATCCATTGCCACGTAAATGCTGTTCTCCTCAGCCAGGAGGCTATCCCGCTGCAGCATCATGCGGAGCATGGTAAACGACAGCTCGCTGAATTGTTCTGACTTGAGGATTTTCTCACAGTGAATGTCTACATAATGCCAGCAGTTCTCCAGTACACTGTCGTCAGCGAAGGCCAGTGTGATCGCCTATACCAGTGCAATCATATTCGGTCACGGATATGTGTCCTTTTACATGTCACTGCCACCACAAAGTCCCTTTGAAAACGTACCTTCTCTAAATGTCGTAAACAGTTTTGGTCGCTGGCATGCAGATCCCGGAGAATAGAGTCGAAGCAATGGCCAGCGAGCGGCGGTAAATCGTACTGCTCGGCGCATTTCATCGTTGCCAAGGCAACCTCCACTGTCACGTCGATCTCATCGGTGTATATATATCTATCAGAGGCAGATACAGTGGACTGCGAAAACCTGTTACATTCGGTCCGTGACCGAATGACCAATCCAAATAAATGGCCAAGACCAAATGACCAACAAACAGGAAACGTGCAAGAATTTGAACACTTGCATCTTGCGCATTTCCCAACAAAAACCATCAACCGATATCTCAAACGAAAGAGAAAAAAATTTCAAGAATTTCGATACCAAATATGTCATCCTTCATGAGATTTACGAGAAAATCGAGCCATTTTAGTTTGTCGTAGACAAAGCATACGATTTCCGTGTGAAAACTGAATCCAAACCGTGGATTCCAATCCTGTGCTATGTCTACGAGAGACTTTAAGTGCGTCGATTTTCTCTTAGATCTCATAAAGAACCACTTGTTTGGTATCAAAATTCTTGAAATTGTTTTCTCTTTCGTTTGAGATATCGGTTGATGGGTTTCGTTGGGAAATGCGCAAGGTGCAAGTATTAATACCAGCAGGCCCATGGCCAATCACGAATTCGCCTGTCTGAGTACAGAAAAGTGCTTGGTTGCGCGCATTGTAACACCTTTTCGCAGTCCACTGTACATCATCAACAACTGATGAGAGATTTATACATTAAAAATCCGGGAAAACCAATATACTGTAATTATAGGCTCCCCTCCCTCCCCCAAAATTCAAGCTCCACGGTAACTGGAGCCTCCCGTACAGGAGACTGGAAATATATTAGCTCCCTCTGCCTCCCCCCTCCACCCCCAAACAGATGCTCATGGGTTCCAATTAAAAAATGGTAAAATAAAATTTATTAAAAATTTATGTTCATACATACGGTAATCTTATAGTAAAGGCGCACATAAAATTCAAATGCCTACACTTATGTACAAACATCGCCAAAAGCATCTGCAACAACAGTGGTACAGTGTTGCCGTCTTTGAATTTTAGGAAATTTTGCTGATCAAAGTGAAGTGCTCACATGTCAGCTAAGGTATCTATTTGTCTCAAAATTATGTCTTATTTGTTCCAAATTTTACTTCATTCCAAGAAAGATTTAGTGCGAAAAACAGACGCACCCCTGTAATACAGGCCCATGCCCGTATTAACTGGAGCCCCCTCCGAGAAGAATTCCAAATAGATTTTATCATTCAGAACTTATAATTCGATAACTGCGGTATGCAGATGCCAGTGATATGTTACCAGTAACACGCAGCCAAATTCTGTAGTTGTGGACCGAGCAACTATTGTACTCGTATATATGATTATTATAATGTCAGTTGACGTTAATGCCAATCAGCCAATACGTCTATACAGGGGCGGCTGGAGCTTCCCGGTTTGGGGTGGGCCAGCACTATTGGCTTTGGGGTGGGCCAGGCCCATAGACTACTATGTTAAAAAAATTTTTTTGGAGGGGGCCATGGCCCCCTGGCCGAGGGGTTCCAGCCGCCTGTGCGTCTATATATGCACGTACATACCTGAGCATGTTTTCGAAAGCCTCAGGAAGAATATCGGGAACGTCGATGGTATCGTTACCCTTATTTTCGCAGAATATTTCGTAGAAGACATCGCTACTGCTGATCAACACGCACCTGTCCGAAATACAGACCGTAATGTTCAGACTGCCAGTTTGAGAACCACAAAGGTATGCGTCGTTTACTCACTTGTGTGCTCGGAAGGTCTTCTCTTGGCTGACGTTTCGGCCGACGGTGAACTGTACATCACTCAGCTCCTCCTTTCGTAATAACCGTTTCATCCGCTTATCCACGCCCTCAATCTTGCCCCGTTGTCGTTGTCGTCGGGGTTTAGGTTCTGCAGCTTCTGGCGACCCTGGCTCGCTGTCACTTGATTGGGACTCACTGTCGTCACTGCCAGTGTCAGCTGCAGCCTGCACGCATCGTGATCGTAGACTCTTCATCTTGTACTGGGATTTGAATTCAAACGTTCAGACTTCATATCAAATCGTAGTAATAAGAACGGTTGCTATAATTTTTTTGATTTGGAAAAGAACGAAGAGCTACTGCATGATTTCAAGTCGATTGCTGACTCATGACGTTTTATGCACTATGCACCAACGAAGCAAAACATTTGTGCAGACCGAGTTCTCGGGGGGGTTGGTACCTGTACCCGACGAGCACCGGAACGATCGCCCGTGACTGCAACTGTGAATGTCCGCCTGTTCATTGTCTGCTGCGTGACCGCAAACATTCACGCCCTCCGGATGGTGTGTTATTTATACAATCTGGCTCTACATACTAGCTGTGCTGCTGTAGTGTAGAGTGGAGACTGCATCCGTCTGCATGTACTAATTCCGATTTAGCGAATTAAACGCATTTCTTACTAGATGACAATATTTCATCCTGCTTCAGAGTTTACATTATACACATTGCATTTCTCTCAGAAACGATATGTATTTAGTCGGCTCCCCTCTCTCGACCACTTCTACGCCGTGTCCAGCATTTAATGCGACTATTTATTACGACCTTTCAGTTTCCACTTTTCGAGTATTTAGAAAGTGGAACAGAGACATCTTGTAAATTCCAGACTCTAACAGTTTGTGACATGTCCGATGTGTAGTGCGTACCACCAAGCATGGCTGCTTGCTCCAGTATATTCCATTTATCGAATTTCCAGTAACAAAATTTTTCTGAATTCCTCTAAATCATCAGAACCCAGAATGACAACGAGTTACACAGCAACACCTGCAAACATAGGCGGGGGAATAACACAAAAAATTATCTAGCATTTTATGTCATTCTTGCCTCCATTTGTATTGTACAATTCCTTGTACACGTACATCACTTTCACTCTCGGTGTATCTCACGATCTTTAACGAGCCGTATACCATGCGTAGATGATGCTGATCCCACAAACCATCGATCGATTATCCCCACAACGCGCAGGCGGCACAACGTAAACGATTTTTCCGTTTTAGGCGAGCACATTTACACAACCACGTGCGCCCTAAGCCCGGTTTAAAAAAGCCTCGTTTTCAAGATCAGATTTCTAGCTCACCAGCACCTGTTTCTTTCTAACTTGATCTGTGCATGGTACTGGCGCAGACCCCATAAAGCGTTTCTACCGGCGTAAGAACCCCATCAGAAATTGGAACACTATTTTTTTGTCAACCACAGCACACGAAAGTACTGCCCAAGAGCGGTGCACGCCGTACGTGAATAACAGGGAGGTATGAGAGAACTAATGTTCGGACGCTGGGTCAGTGCAAAACAGCGGCTATTGAGGTGGTGGTTGGGAGCTAGTGTAGTAAAGAAGGCGTGCGAACTAACTATATTTTCGCTGATGTTTAAATGCAAAACCAGTCACAGTTTATCAGTTTTATTAAAAAAAACAACCCTGCGCTGTGAGCGAGCGCTGTAACAAATTAAACGCTTGAAAAATATTGCCAACAACAGTAACATTAAGACACAGCTATTATCACATCGCTGGAGAAAAACAAAAAACAACATCGACAGCATAATTAATTATAGAACAAACGCGTCGATCTTAAGTTTTACCAAAACCGATTTCGTTTTACCCGAGATATCCTGAAATATTGTCTTTCCTGGCTTAGGATTTTACGTGTTAATCCATCTAGGCGTTGAAGGCAGCTGTCCCTAGGCCAGCCAAAACTCCCCGCGGGCTGCTCAAATACACTGTGAAAAAACCCGACTTTGTTAAAATGTGTCAGCACAGATTCAAAGGTTTATAATATAATCGGCTTTTATTAATTCATTTATCTAAACCTAATAATTTATCTAAATATAACAGCAAGTTCGGTGTTGTGCGACGACTACGATCATTTGCGGAATATTGTATGTTTCTCCGATGGTCGGTTTTAGATGACATTAGACAATAAAATGAGAAATTGAATATGAAGTTACGAACCGAAATGACGAAGCAATCAAAATACGAACCACCTAAAACAATAAAAGAATTCTATGAAATAAACGATAAAAGTAAATGAACAGAAGATCATGCATTCCAAATACGGCAAGCTATCGGAAAAAAACTGTGTAGTAGGTTTGCTAGTATCAGCAAGTACAGGGATTTATTTAGCTGAACCACCTTTATCACATACCTTGCTTAACGCGATCTCGCTCGTTCCTGCTGTCCGCCAGACGCCGCGAAGTTCAGGATACAATAACGACTGGGGGCAAGTCAAACAAACGAAATCATTTTGTAGTAACTGCAAAGATGATAAAATAACTTATTGGCAAGACTTTTGACTCCATCTGCTTCATCTGAGGACACTAAAACGGTAACTTGCAGTCTAACACTCAAACTGTGGTGACTTACTGTAGTGAATGCGCCTCCGCTTTCCGTTGACATGGCTCGTTCTCCATGCCGCTACTTCTCCTCCATGACTTTTCAGCTATCCCTAGGTTGTGGCGGGGTTTTGAGGACAAATCAGGAAAGGGAACGCGAGAACGGGCATAAACGTCATCAGCCCAAAAGTCAGGGAACAAGCGAAGTCGCTCAAGCTTGCAAGGAATCCCCAGTTCAGAGCCATTTTGCCCATGGTGCCGCAGCCGAACCGTATTATTAAATTTACCGCAAAAATGAAAGCTGCTTTAATAAAAATAAGTTTTGCAGGACCAGAAGAAAAATCGTTGAAACGGCAGAAACTTTAAAATTGCACGAGAAGTGAATACTGAATAATAATGTGTACTGACTGCAAACTGCAAAGCCTGAAAACCCGCGTCCAGTGCAACCTCTGCGTCGACAATACGCATTTAAGCATGTGGATTGTGCGGTGTGCTAACCGCACAGTCAGAAATCTACATGATTTTCGCCACACTCGCCAACCGCCCAGAGCGCTGCTTGTAGATCCCTACGGCGGCCAGAGGCCAGCGGCTAGTTTAAAAAGTTTGGGTCTAGTGGCCTGCGATCAACATCAAAGCTGACACATGCGTAGCCGCTCGAACAGCCGCTGAGTTGCTTGTATGTTGGCAGCGCCCAATTGTTTTGTTAATGGCACCGGAAATACAAATTTTCAAATCAGCCGTGGAAACCGGGAAGTAAACCGCAGTCTGAGATGCCATTTTAATTCTTATCATTGCCTACCTCTTCTGGAAAACCTCGAAATTGTTTTACAAGTTAGACGTAACTATTATAATTACCGAAATGACCAGTCGTGGCCCAACACCGCATTCGACAAAAGCGCGCATCGAACGCTGGATCAACAAGCCCTGGAAATCGCTGTCGCTCATTCGACAACGCAGCAAAGACGCTCTTCGACCAGACTATGTTGTCGATGCTAAAGAACTTTTATCCAGCGCTATCCAACTTTCCATCGATCCTAGTTCTATTCCCGACCACGGCAACTGTCGGCAAATCCTGGGGAAAAATCTGCAACCAGTTGTGTACGAATTCACCACGGGGCAGTTTATTTTAGGATATTTGTGCGATGTAGACTGGCCAGGACGGCGCGTCCTGGTGGATTTCTCTTGTTACAGCTGCCCACCCTGTTGGCTGCCCGTTGAAAAGGTACAGCGGCATAGTGCAATACAAACCCGGGATCTCTGCCCCGGAACCCCTGTTGAAGCTGCGCTGCGGCCGAACTCCGACCACCCTTACGTTTTCCAACCGGCGCGCATCATATTTCCTGATGGTTCCGCCAAGTTGGGTCCAGTCTGTGTAGAAGCGGCACTACAGGGCGATGAGAATCCCGTTCATAAATTTGTCCATCCAATCCAGCTGCGCTTTGTGCGGACGTATCCTCGGTTTCACCGGAAAACCGATGAAACACTTTCCGTTCTCGGATACTGTCGCCAGCTGCAGAAACAGGCGGCTTCTCTCGATTTTGGACAGGATGCAAAAGATATTGATCTGCAGCGTCTGCTACGGGCTTTAAACGAAATTCCGGGGATGAAAGCAGTGCGCATATGGCTTGACACCCAGTGCGTTTATTGCGTCTATACGAACAGTCAACCGGAAATTTTTGGTGAGGAGCATTTGAAAGATTTGGTTCGAAAATCGTACCGGTTTGATGAAATTGCGACCGGAAAACTTTTGAAAGTCGATAAGACGGACGCCAGCCGAGGCCGTTCCGCGTCCGTGGGAATGCTGCCATGTGAACTGCAGAAGTGGATCGTGCTGGAAATTCAAGACATCCACAGTGTCGTTAACGCTCAAAAGTTAGCTTCGGAAACGAGACGAGCGACTGCTCGAATTTCATCGAAGCCATGCTGATTTAAGATGTGTAGTTTGAAAGGGAACGTAAGATCATGTAGCTATGATAGCAACTGCAAATATAATTTTCAAGGCTCATGTGAGTACATAATAATTATTGTTTATTGTAGAGTCTGCAAACTCTGGCACGATTTTCTAAACGGCCGTTGCCGCAATCAACACGTCACTATCGACCTGACCAATTTGCTGCCCGATGGCCCGCAAGACCAGGAGCGAAAATATAGCCGCACTCATCTGCTGAATGTCCTGGACCATGCCGTGACGCCCGCCACGGTATCGCTGACGCTGATGAACGGGAATCTGAGCCCGGAGCTGGACCTGTACGTCTCCTGGTTCCTGTCGATCAAGGTCACGCGTTTGCCGCTGATCTTCCTGAAGAATGTTCGCTGCTTTCGCGTCCTAGCACAGAACCACGAGAAGCAGCGACTCGAATGGGCCAACCTCCGTTACTTGATGCAAGCGTGCGAAGTAATACATTCGCGCAACGTCTTCGTTCCCGCCCTCTTCGGTCCCATAGCCGGGTTGTGGAGCGCGCCGGCCGATGTCCGACAGGACATTGATGTTGTCGTGAAGAAAGCCGCGCTGCACTGTGGTCTTAGTGAAACTGATCGGTTACGATGTTATTTGAAGGTATTAAGCGCTGCGTGCCCCGAATTTACCGCCGGTGAATGGGAAGACATCAACGAAGCCTGCCAAGAGATGCTCACGTGTGCCAAACATCCGTTACGCAGCCGGCTAATCCTCATGCTACAGTTGTAAGTACCATCCGGCGGCCGGTTACAAAACCATGAAAAGCGCTAATGCGCGCTGTTACGTGACGTTTGAATCATAGTAAGA